AATGCATATAACTTTACTGGACCAAACCAATTTTCACTGGAAGTTGCCCAATGTCAGGCGACCCTGGGAATTACGAATTATGGGAGCTTCGTTTGGGAGACTTCGTAACAGCATCCTGTTACATTCATTTCTTGTTGAATATATTATCAAAGGTGTTGCAAATCAACCAGTGTAAAAGGACAAATCCGCAACAAATGTAAATATGATTTTATTGAAGAGTTTAACAAATTCTTTCTTCTTGTAACAATTGTTTTCATTTTATTTTCGGAATTAATACACATCTTATAGGATAAAAAGTTTAGTTCTGCTATGATTTGTATATTTGAGCTCATTTTATATTAGGAAAGATTGTACTTTTATCTTTTTTTGACTGAAAATGTTTTTTTTTCTCATTTCTTCTGTCAAAATCGTACAAATACTAGACTTATTTATTTGATACTTCTTTTCAATATCTCAATGTTACTTGGATTTTTTTTTTATAGTAGAAATAAAATTATGATTCTTTGTTTTGTTTTAGATATATGAAAAGTACACTAGAAGTATACCACTAAAAAGATATGTAATACAAAAAATTAAAACAACAAAATGCAAAATAATAAAAAATAATTTTTATTGAAAAAAGATGAAAGATGTTCGATGAGACAACAACAATTTTGATTCATGTATTTGCATTTGTCGATAAAACGGTTAAAGAGTATATGTTTTCGGTACTTTTATGATAGCAGTGGTGGTAGAATATAATTGTTATTTTAGAAAACGCTCAAAAATCGAATCCTTTTATGACTCATTCTTTTGTGAGAGGTTAAACGTTTATAAGTTAAATGCTGATTAAAACTCACCAAAGATAACCGGCTTATTTGATGCAATACACGCGCGTTTTGTCTACATCATAGTCATCAGTGGCACTCGAATCAAAACAGTTATAAAACCATATCGAAACAGATATAAAACCAAATCAAAACAGTTATACAATCAAATCAAAACACGAAGTTGAAGATCATTAAAAACCGACCTTTAATACAGAAACGGCTGGAGTAGCCTATGACCAGGAATAGAATAGAAAACCTCAGATTTTATGAATAATTAAACATTTTATATACAGTAAATTTATAAAAAAAATTGAACATATCAATGAAATTTCATGTCAACACAACTTGGCTGGTGACACTCTTGGGGCCAGCAGCAGTGGCATCAACTCAATGGTTGTAAAGCCTCATCAATGATACAAGGCTTATAATTTGGCACGCCAGAAGCGTAATTGAATGTTATTGATTGTCGACAGTGTATTCTTAAATAGATATAGTAAGAACAGCAGATCTAGACTGTCATCAGAGAAAAGGAATAAGTTTATAGTACAATTGTTAGATGTGATTCAGTTAATTTAGTGTTAAAGCCGGCATGTGTCAAACCATTTAAATTTGATATACATGTTTAAAGTATCATATTTACATTGACATATAACAATTTGAGTGAGTTGCACTGCTTTGATGTCCTGAACATTAGACTAAAAACCAAATCCGTTCATTAAGTTACACTTACTTTACAAGTAATATCCTTGACAAGTCTCGTTATTAGCCTTGTTCATAGTCCGTTGAGATCTCTTCTATGGCAATTGATGGCCTGCAATTGTCCTTTGAAGCCCCAATTTATTCTTCAGAACACAACACAATTTAGTACCGTTTCGATAACATGAAGCCATTTAATTTTTGAGATAAAATGCAGCAAAAAAAGGAGAATCGATTGATTGATAGATTGATTGATAGTTGGTTTTTAACACAACTGTCATTTCTATTGGCTATATCGTGGTTGTCAGTTTTCTTAATTTCTGTGTCGTTTCAATTGTTTACAACAATGATTGTCACATTTGCAGGATTGGAAGATTCCAATTAAAAATAATGCTTTGCTTTTCTCTCAAACTAAGATTATAAAACAAAGACGGAATAGTTTGTGTTCTCCTAGCGCAAAATATCTTCCATCAAGGTTATCAGGAAGTATATGTAGCTCTGAAATTGTCATTACACAAGTTTTTTGTCTTCATCACGAAATGTTTACCAATACCAATAAACAGGTATCCTGGTATAAGGTAAAATATTTTGGATTCAACTTTAAGGCTTCCCTTCAAATAAAGGTCGGATGTCCGATTACGAAACAGAGAATATGGTGTAAGGAACCAACTAATGATGCGGTGTGTCTGTTTCAAATCAAGAGCGACATATCGCGATCTCGTCATTAATTTACCATTTATGTCCTTTTCTCGATCGTGACGTTTGTTTTATCTAAATTTGGATTTGCAAGGCAGATGATGCATGCATGCAGGTAGTAGAGAGGCTTACACTGTCCTCGCAGTTGGTACAAATCAGTATGAATTTACCCGCAGATTTGTTCACTTCGTTTGAATACTCAAAATGGATCTACGAGTTATAGGTTGCACTTTGTAAATACAGCTGTTTTGAAAACCACGCCTCTTTTGGGGAGATATATAATATTCATAAATATTTTGTTTTGTTTACCTACTGGTTCCCAGATATGATCTCTATATTTCATCTCGTAAAGACATAACTTGGGAATGTTACCAATACATAGAATAGACATGATTAGCGGTGAAATTGAATTCTGAAGAAGACTCAAAGTGAAGGGAGAGGTAGTACAGAATGATAGTATAAATTTTAACTCTAAGAAGTTCGGGGCATATAAATGTTGAAAATATGCCGCACAGCCCTATATTTTGACCTTTGAAAAAAATAGTAGTGCATATGAACTTTCCATTCCTGGTTATAACTTTTAACGAAACTTCATAGTAAAAGTGGTACAGTTTTAGCAGTAAAAGGAGTTCCTATGGGAAATTGCATTGTCTATATTTACAGAAGTGCAACCTTTAGAACAGGTACAACACTGACCTTCCTTTTTGCAAACTGTTCGGTACCGTACAATATCTTAATTGTTGATTTTGAACAAATTACAGGCTTTATGAAAAATAAACAGAATTGAATACAAGAATTTCATTTCGAAAAGGATCGAATAGATTATAAAAATGTGTTGATCACTTTTACCCTTCCACCTGATCATGGTCTCTGTCACAGAAAATAACATACACGATAAACTCCATTAAAGTCAAAATTATAATGTCAATTTATTTGTTTCTCTTTTCATTCTAACATGATATCGTCTTCTTTTTATTATTTATTTTTATTTGTCGGTTCTTATCATACATGTTTTAAACTGCGAACAATCAAGTTTCATCGGCTTCATTTTTCCGTTGGCTCCTTTATAATTTCTCAATCTGTGCAAGATGCTCATGATTCCAGGGAAGTCACAGATATATTCGAGATATCATCAATTAGGATAAGAGACTGTACATATACCAATGGTTTATGGAAATGTTTTATAGTTATACCAATCTGCTATTTTGTGTTAACTTCATCGTGGGACATTATTAAGATTGGAATTTAACAGGAGTAACACGACTACATGTAGTGTCAATAGTCAGTAGGAACTGTTTCAATTTCGGAACTGCTTCTTTCATCCTAGGGTTTTCATGGGGTTGGGGTTGCTCGATCATTAGTTTTGTAGACTGTTGTCATCTTATTAGTTTTTTTCCTTTTCACTCTGACATGATGCGGTCTTATTTTTCGATTTGTCGTTTATAATTTTCATCTTTGTTTGGAATCACTAAATTCGAGTTCCATCGGCTTCACGTTTCCAACCCGTTTGTTCCTACATTATTTCTCAATCGGTTCCAGATGCTCATAAAAGTCATAGATTTTTATAAACGCTATACGTTCATTATATATATATATTGAAATAGCAGAACTGTCAAAGAACGCCTAAAAAAAATAACTAGATATATTTCTAAATCTTTGTTGTGAATAAATAATTTCAGGGATTTATAAAGAAAATACGTATGAGACTTTTCCATCAAATATATGACTTCGGTAAATAGATTTAAAGATGATGTTTAAATTCTACTAATGTAAACAGATCAGAAAAAGTAAGAGAGGTTTAATATCAATTAGATTGACAGTTTGAAACAAACCTGATTCTGGGTTTTGCTCATTGCTGAAAGCCGTACGGTGACATATAGTTGTTAACTTCTATGTCATTTGGTTTCTGGTGGAATAATGTCTCATTGGCAATTATACCGCGTCTTCTTAACTTTTTACCTATTTTGTACCATATCGACACATTCAGTCGGACTGAGTCCGCGGGAAGATAAATTACTATATCCTGACGCATTATTTAGACTCGGAGTTGACCAGTTTTTATGCTCACTCTTTAATGCTGCGTGCTTAGCTGAAAAGCAGCACCAACTCATTTTCAAGTTTGACCAGGCCAGGAATCAAACCAAGGACATTCCGTATTTGAGCACGTGTCCACTGAGGCCACAAGAGCAGATTCAGAGTATATGCCAGTGATCTTGACACGGCATACTTTTGTACAGTTTTGATGGAACTGGTGTTATTGGCGTCATATTTACTCATGCTGTACAGTAATAAGGGTTATTTTGATATATACTCTTTCTAATTTGAAAAACAGATGGTCAAGCATGGTTTATCCTCCCTACATGTCAGATCGCCTGTCTGAAGTGAGAAAACTGAGGTCAGTTTCTCCATTATATTATAGTGTTTGATGTTTTTCAAAAGTCTTTGGAATTGCAAGCTGAAATTTCATAGTTTCTACAAAAGTAAATCTGATCTTGTCTAAACATCTAGAGCCATGACTGATAAAAGATTGACATGGTATTAACATTCTTTAATTTATCTCCTGTTTTAGATGTTGTATAAGTGTCAAATGGAATCGACATTTCTCAATGTATCCCCTGTTTTAGATGCTGGACTGCTGTCAAAGACGGAAATCCAACGCATTAATTAATTGTCCTTTACTTTACAATACCCTGCATATGCGCATTATGGATCTCTGTATAATTCGATTTAAAAACGATTGGTCTAAAACATATTTATTGAAATGAATCTAAACTGAAAGTAATTAGATTTCCATCCAAAGGGTTCTGGTATTTGAATATGAATATCATATAATGCCGATATGAGCCCTGTATTGTATGAAATTTGCAAATTAACAACATATTTTTGCTTCATCATTTACTAAGTAAATTTACAAACAAACTGGAGCACATTCATAAGATATACAAAATATACATAAACAAATCATAAAGGGACACTTTGGCATTTTTATGTTGACATATTACTTCGAAAGTCTTCAGGTGTTATCGTTGATTTTCACAGTATGAATTCTTAATACACTCCTACAACAGAAAAGACGATAGTATAAGAAACATTGGATACAATTGCAGCAAAAAAAGAAGAAAACTACTAGTATAGCTTTTAGAGCTATCAAAGTATATATAGTACAACCTGGTCTTTATAGTTAATGATTAAATGTATAATGGGGAGTGTACGCAATTACGTACAAATGATCTGGTATGCCATACAAGATGATGGTCTGGATGGGGGCCCATCTTTTCTGTTTTCATTATTCTCTATTCTTTATATTCTAGTGCCCAATAATTCTCTATTCTTTATCTATTTTGCCTATTTTTTAATGTTTATATAATTATTCTCGTTTCTTTATATTCTAGTGCCCCATTATTCTCTATTCTTTATTTATATTGCCTATTTTTTAATGTTTAGATAACTATTCTCTATTCTTTATATTCTTGTACCCCATTATTCTCTATTATTTTTTATTTTGTCTATTTTTCTCTTCTTTATTTGGCCCATTATTCTGTATTCTGTAAAACCCACAAGTCCCTCGTACAATGATACTACCTTTATTCATTAGTTCTCCCAAAACTGTTTACAAACTAGCGGATAAGAAGCAAAAGTAAATTAAATGTTTTATTTTACCTTGAACATAATTCATGAAATCTATGACGGCGGCAACGGAAGGTATCATCGGCGTCCGTCAACAACTATTAAAGTTTATGATTAGATCCGTTTAAGGAATTCCAATAATAACAATTAAATGATACGGGTGCCACATATGAAATGTTTACAATGTTATTGTTTCAATCTCTTTTGTCAAAAAGTTTATCAATCTCCACTTTCAATTTCTGAGTTTGAGTAATAATGTACAACAGACTTAAATTTGGTTATAATTTTTAAAAAAATTAATAGAATAGATAAGTTCAAAATTGTCAAATAACTTTGAGTAAGTCAGTAAGTAGACATCTATCTAAACATGAAGTTGAAGATCAATGGTTGTTTTTAATTCCCTATATGACTATACTGACGACCAACCTTTTCCACCTCCCATCATTGGCATCATTTCCATCATTTTGCTTGGCATCATTGGCATCATTTTACTTGGCATCATCTCTTGCTTACCCATTGGCATAGGCATACCACCTTTCATCATTGGCATTGACATAGGCATTTCTTTGCCACCCATTCCTCCTTTCATCATTGGCATGGGCATACCACCTTTCATCATTGGCATAGACATGGGCATTTCTTTGCCACCCATTCCTCCTTCCATCATTGGCATAGGCATACCACCTTTCATCATTGGCATAGACATTGGCATTTCCTTCATACCTCCTTCCATCATTCCCATCCCTTTTCCTCCCATCATTTCCATTTTAGGCATCATCATCATTGCCTTCATCATTTCCATACCTTTACCACCCATTCCGCCTTCCATCATGCCCATTCCCTTTCCTCCCATCTCAGGCATCATCATTGGCATACCCATTCCTTTGCCGCCGCCCATTCCACCTTCCATCATACCCATTCCCTTTCCTCCCATTTCGGGCATCATCATTGGCATTCCCATTCCCTTTTCCATCATGCCCATTCCCTTTCCTCCCATTTTTGGCATCATCATCATCATTGGCATACCCATTCCTTTGCCTCCTCCCATGCCACCTTCCATCATGCCCATTCCTTTGCTACCCATCTCTGGCATCATCATCATCATAGGCATACCCATTCCTTTGCCTCCTCCCATGCCACCTTCCATCATGCCCATTCCTTTGCCACCCATCTCAGGCGTCATCATTGGCATTCCTTTTCCACCCATCTCGGGCATCATCATCATTGGCATTCCCATTCCTTTTTCCATCATGCCCATTCCCTTTCCTCCCATCTCTGGCATCATCATCATCATTGGCATACCCATTCCTTTGCCTCCTCCCATTCCACCTTCCATCATACCCATTCCTTTGCCTCCTCCCATTCCACCTTCCATCATGCCCATTCCTTTGCCACCCATTTCAGGCATCATCATTGGCATTCCTTTTCCACCCATCTCGGGCATCATCATCATTGGCATTCCCATTCCTTTTTCCATCATGCCCATTCCCTTTCCTCCCATTTCGGGCATCATCATTGGCATTCCTTTTCCACCCATCTCGGGCATCATCATCATTGGCATTCCCATTCCTTTTTCCATCATGCCCATTCCCTTTCCTCCCATCTCTGGCATCATCATCATCATTGGCATACCCATTCCTTTGCCACCGCCCATACCGCTTTCCATCATGCCCATTCCTTTTCCTCCCATCTCTGGCATCATCATCATTGGCATACCCATTCCTTTGCTACCGCCCATACCGCCTTTCATCATTCCCATTTTTGACATCATCATCATCATAGGCATACCCATTCCTTTACCTCCTCCCATTCCACCTTCCATCATGCCCATTCCTTTTCCACCCATCTCTGGTTTCATCATCATTGGCATACCCATGCCTTTGCCTCCTCCCATTCCACCTTCCATCATACCCATTCCTTTACCGCCGCCCATACCGCCTGCCATCATACCCATTCCTTTGCCACCGCCCATTCCGCCTTCCATCATACTCATTCCTTTACCCCCGCCCATTCCACCTTTCATCATTGGCATTCCTTTACCAGCCATCATTCCACCCATTCCACCTGCTTTGCCTGTAATATACAGAAAACTTATGTATTAATTTAGATTGAAGATGAATGAAAAAAAGCTCCTTTAAACTCATTAGGTATTGAATATGCAGGTTTTTTTTTATGTTATCTAGTTATTTTGTTATTCTTTCTGAGGGTGGTTATTATTACCTTCTACATATAACCCAAGAAACTTTTCTGCAACAATTAACTAATTCAAATAGACATAAAATAAACACTACTATCGTTTCCTACTTAATATGATATTACAGTGCTTCTCGTCATTAGTTATGATCTATTTCCGTTCTAATAATGTTCCTTACCATATCCCATACTTTCTAAAGCGTATATTTTTTTTAATTATTTTTTTTTAACGAATTTTCATAAATATCATCCGACCTATTATCATTTGATCAAACGATGACAAAGAGAGAAGGCTCTAAGTATATAAAATCCAAACAAAAAATGTTAACTGGATGGAAAAGGTAATTGACACAATTGTTTTCACAAAGTTTTTGTTAAACGTCAATGCATATTGGTATAATGCTAATGTTAAACGTAAATGTATATGGGTAACATGCCAACGTTAAACGTCGATGCATATGGGTGGAATGCTGATGTTAAACGTCAATGCCTGTGAGAGGAATGCCAATTGGAGGCAAAGGTGGTACGCCAATGGTTGCATTGCCGATCAGAGAAATTGATTAATTTCTGCAGTTAATGACCTAATATATAGTAACTATTCATTCTAGTAACTATATCAAATGGACTATGAACTTAAATTAAGTTAGATAGTACCCTTCAATGTCAAAATTTGTTGGAACATTAGGACATTACGAAGCACCACAAATCAATAATGTTCCAATTGTTATTATATTTATGTCCTTTTTGGTCATATAGCTCTTCAACTGTTTCGGTTCTTATACATCCTTTTTCAAATATTCGGCTTCCGGTTCCTGATGATGGTAAATCCAGAAAAGCGCTTCAGATGCATGAAATTTATAAAGTGTTGTATTCATTTTTTGCCAAACTTGACGTTTCACTTAAGTTAAGAGTTTCAAATTGTTCCATGAATCGTAGTAAGCTAAGGTGAAACAGTTGTAGTAGATCATTTACCTTTCGATGCATATCTTCTATATCCTGCAAAACAAAACAAAAATAATGATTAGGACCGATCAAAAATATACATGAATTTAACACAAGAAAGATGATCCGAAGAGGGCAACAACAAACATAAATCAAGGGAAACAACAGTAACATATGACATGAAGAAAACAGACAGAAAGCAAAACTAATAAAGAACTGCGCCAAGAGCGCATGATACACCCAACGCTTTTTCAACGACATATCAATGTCATATCAGTCATTTTTAAAAAAAATTAAAGGGAGCTTATTCTAATAGATACAAACCAGTCACCAAAGTGTCATGAAAACTGCTCAAAGTATTTCTGAGTTATTGTCCGAAAATTGGAAAATCCGTCCTTTTATATGAATAAAATCCCATAACTCGGAAACGTAAAATCTAAAATTTATAAAAATCGAAAGTGAGCTTACGTCAATAGATATAAACAATTAACCAAGGTTTCATGAAAATGGTAAAAGCGTTTTTGAGTTATTGCCAGGCATGTTGACGACGGACAGACGGACAACGGTATACCATAAAACGTCCCGTAAACGGGCGTATGAAAACAAATCAACACGAACACAATCAAATAAGAGACAGCAGTGTTTATAGATGTTAGAATCTAGAAAAACAATTCTAAATACTTTTACGGATTTGTTCTCACATGGCCAACACGACGGATGCCACATGTGGAGCAGGATCTGCATACCCTTACGAATCACATGAGATCACCCCCCGGTTATTGGTTGGATTCTTATTACTTAGTCTTACGTTTTCTATGTTATGTATAGTGATGTTTTCTATTTGTCTTTTCATGTTTTATCATGGCGTTTTTTATTTTCGACTTATTAGTTTCAATGTCCATTTGGTATTTTTCTCCTCTCTTTTGTTTAACGACCTTAACTTTCTATCAATAACTTGAATATAAAAACCCAGATGAAACACTTATGGAATCTAATGAACACAATGCGTCTATTGGTTAAAAATCTCTCACTACACAATCAGAACCTACTAAAAAAAATAGTCATAATTGTCTGCGAAAAACCTTCAGCCTTTAGAGATTTGTCTAACCCTAAATATATGATCAAATCTAAGTTAAGCAATTTTAGAATGTTGTTTGAATTTATTAGAAATTTAAGATTTCTTCTGTATCATCTATAATAACTGCATGCTTCGTTACTTCAATTGAAATCTCGTTTTATTAACCGGATTTCCGAACGAAAAATCGGTTATTGATTTGGGGATGTACAGCGGGCGGGTGGCTGCCAAACAGTGTCCGTGCATTTACTCATGAACTGTTCAACCAAAGCTTTTCAAATTTTAATATGTTGTTACTGATGACATAATGGAGGTCAAGTTCAATATTGACGATTTTCACTTTCACCGTTTAGGAGTTATGGTTCTTGAAAGTTTGAAAAATGGTGTTTCCAGTCGTGTCCGTGCTTAAACTCATGGACCGTTCAACCAATGCTTTTAAAATTTTAATATGTTGTTACTGATGACAAAATGGAGGTCAAGTTCAATATTGATGATTGTCACTTTTACCATTCAGGAGTTATGGTCCTTGTGATATTGAAAAATGCATGGACACAAATAAATGTTAAAAAATCCGGTTTGCTGTCACTCTGACAGCCTCTTGTTGAGATTATACATTAGATCCAAATCTTGTGAAGGTTCGATTGATATTTTTCAACATACAATAGAAAGCCCCAAATTCCTTAAATGATCCGATTTCTGAATGTGAAATCATATACTGATTTTAGGTCTAATATTATAGAATATGTTTTAAATGTATGGCAATTCTATACAAATTAAATGAAATAAAACTTATTATAGGTAATTCAATATGCAGGACAGTTCGGTGTCTTATTTCTAGTATGGTTAAAAAATTGTAAAAATTAAAACCGAACAACAATCTATACCTGTCCATTGCAAGTATACGATTAAACATGTTTAAAGAAAATGTGTTGATTTTGTCATAATAATAATTATGAGTTATTTGAATATAAGTCTTATAAGATTTGCATATCTCTTTCGATTCTACTGTGATGTATTCATGTGAGATACAATACACATTCATAGATCCTTGGATTCAAAGAAAATCAAAATTGAAAAAAAATTTAGAACTCTTTTTCCTATTTCCAATGAATAACAAAAAGCTATAATTCAATAGAGTATAAAAATCAGATGAAATGAAATTCCGCGAACTTTCATGAATGTTCTTGGTGCCATGACGTCATACGAATGAAAACTATCTAGGTTATTCCGTTACCTGTACGCTTTAAATTCTGGTATGGTCTCATTAAAATGTAGTTTTTGAGGGAGGTGTTTTTTTTCTCCAGTTTTATTGCATTAACTCAACATTTATCGATTTCAATAATTCAATATGGCGGCTCAATCCTTAGTAACGATGCAAACTGTGGATTGGACAGCTTATTACAAAAAATTGCAAATGTTTGTGTTTAGAATTATAAGGATGAAACATATACGTATCAACTGTTTTAATCTTTTATGACGTAGTCATGTTACTCAATTTCATTTGTATATAATTCATAAAAAAAAGTTTAATAAAGGTTTGTAAACATCATCATTTGTTACATTCAGCTTTAACTGTGTTACGTGAATAAATTAAACATTAAAGATCTATCTATATATATATATATCTATCTATGATAACACTTACTTTTTCTTCCACCCATAGGCATCATCGATGGCATTCCACCCATTGGCATACCACCCATTGGCATACCACCCTTTCCTCCCATCGACATTCCTCCCATAGGCATTCCGCTCATTGGCATTCCACCTTTTCCTCCCATCGGCATTCCACCCATTGGCATACCACCTTTTCCTCCCATTGGCATTCCACCCATCGGCATTCCACCCATTGGCATTCCACTCATTGGCATTGGCTTTCCACCCATTTGCATAGGCATACCGCCTTTTCTTCCCATCGGCATACCTTCCATAGATATTTCGCCCATCGGCATTCCACCCATTGGCATACCACCTTTTCCTCCCATTGGCATTCCACCCATCGGCATTCCACCTTTACCTCCCATAGGCATACCGCCCATCGGCATTCCACCCATTGGCATACCACCCATTGGCATTGGCATTCCACCCATTGGCATAGGCATACCACCCTTTCCTCCCATAGGCATTCCTTCCATAGATATTTCGCCCATCGGCATTCCACCCATTGGCATACCACCTTTTCCTCCCATAGGCATTCCACCCATCGGCATTCCACCTTTACCTCCCATAGGCATACCGCCCATCGGCATTCCACCCATTGGCATACCACCCATTGGCATTGGCATTCCACCCATTGGCATAGGCATACCACCCTTTCCTCCCATAGGCATTCCTTCTATAGACATTTCTCCCATTGGCATTCCACCCATTGGCATACCACCTTTTCCACCCATACCTCCCATAGGCATACCACCCATCGGCATTCCACCCATTGGCATACCACCCATTGGCATACCGCCTTTTCCTCCCATAGGCATTCCTTCAATAGACATTTCGCCACCCATTGGCATACCACCCATTGGCATGCCACCCATTGGCATTCCACCTTTTCCGCCCATTGGCATCATTCCCATTGGCATACCACCTTTTCCACCCATTGACATCATTCCCATTGGCATCATTCCCATTGGCATTCCACCTTTTCCACCCATTGGCATGCCACCCATTGGCATTCCACCTTTTCCACCCATTGGCATCATTCCCATTGGCATTCCACCTTTTCCACCCATTGACATGCCACCCATTGGCATCATTCCCATTGGTTGCATTTTACCACTAGGCATTTTGGCCATCATCATCATCATACCTCCCATTGGCATTGGTGCTCCTCCAGCTGGCATACCACCTGCACCTGCACCTGCGCCTGCACCTGCACCAGCAGCTGCAGCTCCTTCCGCAGGGGGAGTAGTACTTACAGCTGGTGTAGCAGGCGCAGCTGGTTCTGGGGGTTCATACTCCGTCTCTCCACCTGCGGCCGCTCCGCCCATCATACCTCCCATTGGCATTCCACCCATCATACCTCCCATTGGCATTCCACCCATCATTCCTCCCATTGGCATTCCACCCATCATTGGCATTCCACCCATCATTGGCATACCACCCATCATTGGCATAATACCCATCATTGGCATACCACCCATCATACCTCCCATCATTGGCATTCCTCCACCCATCATTGGCATACCACCGCCCATCATTGGCATCGGCATTCCTCCCATTGGCATTGGCTTTCCTCCCATTGGCATTTTCATTGGCATTTTCATTGGCATTGGCATTCCACCCATAGGCATAGGCATTCCACCCATGGGCATAGGCATTTTACCTCCCATTGGCATCATGCCACCCATCATCATCATACCACCATCCTTAGGCATTGGCATACCACCCATGGGCATAGGCATTCCACCACCCATCATTTTACTACCACCTCCACCTGGCATAGGCATTGGCATGCCTTTTGGCGGAGCTAAACATAATTCAAAAGAAACCATTTTAAATTAAGGGCATTCGATAAAGTTACATGACAGGTGATGTCGTCCATAACATAAAATGATATTTTTTGTGACTTATGGGGAAAAGATGAATTTTTCGACTGATATAATTGTTACCTTGAAAACGAGTACATGTACCCCTCTTTTAAAAATGGCATTTGGCTTCATTTTGTATGATGATTATTTGTACCATTTTTATGAAAAAAATCACCGATGAATTTTTTTTCATAAAATACATAAATATACAGCAAAAGAATCTAGTTTTCTTTTATACCATGACAAATTTTGTGCTCACTTATTTAAGGAAGATACTCACAATGTTTTTTTTTACTTTATTAAACCACTTATGTTTACCTTTTGAAGTAAAACAAAAAATAGGTGTGTCTTTTCAAAGAATAGAAATGTCCAAGAAACCAAAATTTTTGAGTAAACGTCTTAAATTTCGACCCCATTTATCTCTAAAAGTAGTACATACATGTATATTTTTATAACAAATTTCAGTTGATTAGATGAAAAATAGTTTGTATGTAAACTTTCGTCAAAATTTCACCGTGAGATCTAAACTATATCATATGCCCTTAAATATATTATCTTTATATCTGATACATTATTGTAATATAAATACAATTTTCGTGGTTGGAATGCTCTTCATATTATGGAATGTATCGTTCACAAAGGAGAAGGTACGATAAGGACACGTTTTTGTTTTGTGTATTATAAATTTATCAAGTAACATCTTTTATATATTCATTAGCTAAGACAGTTCTTGTCAGATTTTAGAATAGAATTGAGAATGGAAACGGGGAATGTGTCAAAGAGACAACAACCCGAATCAAAGAACAGAAAACAGCCCAAGGCTACCAATGGGTCTTCAACGAAGCAAGAAAATCCTGCACCCGGAAGCAGGATTTAGCAGGCCCCTAAACAATAATGACTATATTTGATTTTTCTTCTTGTATATTTGTCAGATGATTGGGGCTTCATATGTACATCTTGCATTAAATGTGAAACTGCCAACAGAACCCACATTTTGACACCAGAGAAATACCTTTCAGAGTGGGACTTGAAAAAGTCTATGCATTAACCTTATGTGTAGTTCTATAAGTTGGGGCCCGGGGGTCCTTATCCTCCCACTATAAATCCGCCTCTGAATGTGGGAACGGTGCATTCTCATACATGTTTTGTTTAAAACGTAACAAATTGTCAGTGTATGTTAGATATGTCAATTTCGACATATTCCTGACATCTAAGTTTATGTTTCTGCACCAAAGTGACGAAATATACAATTCTATTGATATGTCAACAAAAAGAAGCATTCGTCCGAAAGTGCTTAGGAATAATGCTAATTTGGAATTTTATGGTCCAGTTAATATCTCTTTTCATAGCTCCTCTATGTGGTCAAAATCATGTTTTTCATTATATAACGCGACAATATAAAACTTTGACTAATGACAATAAATTAAGATAAAAAATAAAAAAAATAAGGTGAAAAAATGTTAAAACAAACAAATATAGTCACTACAAGAACAAAGTATTCTTTATTGAAAATTGAAATTCGTTTTTAATATCAAGATATGAATACTACTAAGAAAAAATATCAGTAAAGAACATAGTTATTTTAGCTTTAATAATTAAATAAGTCGTTATGTACTTACGCATGCATTGGATACCGGAGATGAGAAGGAAGCAAAATACGGAAATGATTATAGAATTCATATTTGGTCCACCTGAAAAAAAAGAGAAATAAAATAAAAAAAAAAAACCACTTTGAAGGAATCATACAAAATATTAACTAGAATAAGTAATATTACACATGCTTACGTCATTCGCCGTGTCAGAATCTATAGCAATATGGTTAATTTTATTGTTCTATACTACGAATATAAAAGCTAGCATTTCATTGGTTGAATTTCCATTTTAAAGATCGTTGTGAACCAATCGATGCATTGTACGCTCAATGCGTGAGATTCTTAATGGCAAGTTCTATTCACACGCTGTAAACAATTATGGTCGAGTTCAGAAGACAAGAAAAGAACTTTCTTTATGACAAATCTTTAAGTTCAAGGTATCGACTTTAAAGAAGTTCTATTCAATAGATATCAGCACATTTTTTTGTACATGACGAGTTCTCAAATGATTTTTTGGTAAACTTAGTTGAGGATGTCGGCTGCTCTGTTTAAAAAAAACAAGTGTTTTTAAAAGAATGTTATAAATTTATATTTCATAAATAACGGAACAAATAGCAGAAAAAATGAAGGTCCGTGTCTTTTTCTTTTGTTTTTTCAGATGTAAACCATTGACAATTTGCGGGAAATGGTTGTCTCTAGATTTTTCATAAGTTTAACATTGGCACCTTTTTACTTTCAAAGACTATGAAAACATTACAAGGATTTGTTCAATATTTTTTAACTATATGTAATAAAGTTATGAATTGAAAAGCAAAACTTTAAATGGCGCTACATGGGAAAACCAGAGAATTCCGAATGTCAAATCAGGATAAGCGAACATTTTTAACTAAGGTTTCCAATTTTTACCAGCAATTTTGATCCTCTATCATAGACATGATAGATACTGTTTGTCTACATCTTCAAATATCTGTTTGGTAAATTCATAATTATCTCTGAATGTTGATAATAAGTTATAAAATACTGAAGGACAAAATGTAAATCTATAACGATTTAAAAAAAAATAAATGACATATGATTATCTACCAAATACGTATATTGATCTTTCTCCTAGTCTTAAACAGTAAGCGTTTAAATATTCATGTTTAAACAATGATTATAACCAAATGCGTATTTCAATCTTTCTCCCAGTCTTGAACAGTAAGCGTTGAAATATTCATGTTTAGAATACTGATTTTAACCAAAAACTTATATTAGTCTTTCCCCCAGGCTTTAACATATATTTTAAAGAATCGTTAACAGATGTATTTAAAAGAAATAATCTTTCTTTTGCTTTTGTAAAGACAAGTCCAACGTTGTATAGGTGTACAGGAATTTCCATAGATTATTGCAATATAATTTTGATCATAACATATTCCTTTACTCTTTAGATAATTACGGAAAAAAGAAAAATTAGTTCATCAAGGCTTGGAATATAAAATCAAATTCGGCACAATAACAACTGAATTGACTTTCGACGGAAGCAATAATTGTATTGACTTTCTTTCATATAAAATAAGGGGGAAACGAAAATACGAATCGATGTAGATCAAGTCTTATATACATTTCAACCGTATTTATTTCAGTTATACTTTTCCTAAATATTATAGACTTGTATTGATTCGAGACGATTTTTGTAAAGTCTGTTATTGTCTTTTTTGTCGTTGGGTTACTGTCTCATCGACGTTTACCATACATTAACTTTTTCATATGAAATGTCGTCCGATCAGAAACATAAGTACATTAAAAATGACAATAAAACATCAGCAGCGAACCCAGGATTTTGAAGACGGCTAACTTTTTTTTTCATATAAAAATCGAAAAGCAAACATAAACGATAGCGATAAAAATGCATTAACCATGTGCGCTCCCTTTCCTCTTTCTAAAGCACTGTGTATGATAAAAACACTGTACCTGTCGTTTGTGTTGTAATAAGTCCAAATAATTAAAGTATTCTACGTGATTGTATAGTTACATATATCATTATGCAATAAATTTAAATCATGTCTCACCTTTTGAAATGTGCTCCAAGTTTTTACAACTATGTGGTGGCTGATTCTAGCGACGTTTCAAAGGTGAAACTACTTTTTATGTCCCTCTTGCCGGAAATGGTACATGTAAATTCCGCCATCGGTCTAGATCAAACGTGAAGGAAACCAAATCGAACAACTTCTGTGTCGATAGCCCTGATGTAAAACATTGCAAAGAACATGAATAGTTTTAATAAAATTTGTTAATTTGCACGAGTTTACAGCGTCGTGATTAGAATAGTTGTCAGATTATGTGACAACATGATAAATATTTTTATATTAAATACTAAATGTTATTAGTTCGATTTTACGCGTGATTTGATGTTATGAACTTTATTACGTAAAACGATATATTAATCTAGTCCATATGTTTCTTAGTACTTTTTTTGGCATTCTTTAATGTATTGATAGTAACTGAAGAATTTTTCAAAATGGTAAGTTTGTATTGTATTTTTTGCCCTTATCATCTGCTAATGTCATAATGTCATGTATGGTATAAATTTTAGGGTTGTCTATAATTGTTATGGCTAGTCCGCTCTATCATGTAATGATTAAATAATCACAGGTTAAAATTCATTGAATGCAAAAATCTTTTCTTCGGATAAGTCTGTAGTTAAGAGTCATGAAAATAAAATCAACGAAATGACACTAGGTCACCGTTAACAGATAGAGAACCTGTTTTCTATTACAACTTACAACATACTTTAAAAAATAAAATCATTTTTTGATACTAGCTGTATTTGATTAATCATTTCAGTTTTGGAGCACTTTTATAGTTAATTACGTGTGTATTCTTGCATGGTTTTGAAATACAAGATAAGAGTTGGTTGTTGTTTCGATCCAAATTTGCCGTTTCAGAATCTAATGGACTATCATAATGAATAGTTTCATTGTCCGTACCCCAGAATGAAGATGTCGTCACATCATTTCCATTAATATTGTTAAGGGTCTTCAACAAATTATAAGGTTTCAGTGTATGCTTTTCAAAATATATTACTCACATGAATTAGATTATGAAAAGGCGAATTCATCAAACTCAAAAGATATCTGTCGTTAAAGCTCACCTTGAGGGTACAGGTAGCGTGTGCTAATCAGTAATCAGACAACAAAGCATCAATGATATTTTTAAACGCGTTGTAATATATATAACATGGAGGCTTACCAGTTTTTTTTAACAGGTAAAGTTTGCCTGTACGATTTACGCTGATCTGTTTATATTCGTTTTCGGTTTTTGATGGTCTCGGTTTTTTTTATTGCTCAAGCTTCCAGAACTTTTGGTCTTGGGCGAACTCAATGAAGGTTGCTCCAAAAATACGTGTCATGGACACAGACATCGGGTAATATGTTTTGTTACTACTATGAGTGGGTCTCATTGGGGTCTAAGCGTGACGCAGGATTGCCGATATTTTGTAAGCGTGACACGTGAAAGTCAAATTATTGTGCCGTGAAAACGGGAATTGAAGTCTAGCGGGACACGGGAAATTACAAAAAAATGAGAATTGCTTACGTACATAGTGTAAGCGGGATACGGGAATCTGACAAAACAGTAAGCGGGATCCGGGATCAGAACCCCCAATGAGACCCTCCTATGACTACGGAGTAACTTCTCTTGCTGGTTACATATCAACATAAACATTCACCGACGTTCTTTAAAGTACAAAAAAGCACCGTAAAATTAAGTTAAAAAAATATATAAAAAATCTTTTGAAGTAGCTTTTAGCTTCGTTAACCAACCTTTGTTGGAATGATATTTCATTCTGAATTATGGTATAATACTAACTACTTTCAAACATAGGCATTAATTCATCAAAAATAGGAAAATGTACATGAAGTTTAATTACAAAAGCGGAAAAAAGATAAGATAACCAAAACAAAGTAACCGAAATTTTAATGAATAGTAGTCCTGCCTCAAAATTTGCTTAGTTCATTGAAATTCTAAACCGATCGTTTTCTAATATTTTACTATCTAAGATGGCGGAAGACCCCCACTCTACCTTATATTAAGTAAAGTATGCACCAATTGGGTGTACCAAAGTAAGGTTGATTAATATAGTCATTGTTTTCCGTCGCAAAACGAAGTCGATATTTGGAAATGCTGATGTCCGACCAAGATCGTAAGCGCTCTCGCGCATACAATTCTCCATAAATCTTAATTAAATCTATGTTAAAGTTTATTATTAGAAATATCTCGGAGATTTCGAATATCATTGCTGAGCACTCATTTTCCAGGGGGAATTTTATCCATTAAAAATGTAAGTATTACGGAAAAACAGTACTGTACTTGCTCGCACACCTAACTTAATATCCGTCTTTGGAGTTAAATGAATATGTAAAAGGTTAACATCAGCAATATCTCTAACAAGTTCAAAAATTAGTCCATTATATTATCTTTCAGGAGTTATTCCTCTTGTAAATGTGAGTTATAGGAAAATTCATTTTAAGGGCTCTTACACCTAGACCTTTCTTTAGCATTTAAGAACAAATTATTTCAGAGGTTTACATCAGGAATATTTCGGACGGTCCAGTTTGAAAATCTGCATTGATTGAATATCTGAGAATTCTCATCAGGGTTTAATTAAATGTATGTCAAATTTTAACATCAGCCTATCTTGAAAGAAGGAATTTGAAAGTCAGCGTATGTCGAATACTTTTGGGGCCATGCTTATTGTAAGCGCTCTTAAGTCTTAATCTCGTGGGGTTTAATGGAATTTGATTGATTGGTATAAAAAGCTCTTTAAGCACTATTGGCTATTTCGTAGCGGTCAATTTTAATAGGTGGAGGAAGCCGGAATGCCCGGAGAGAACCACAGACCTTCGGCATTCCGAACACCTCACCTCTAGTTGTCTTTTGGTTTTTATGTAGTTTGATACATTAAGATAAGAGAAGGTGGTATCATTGCTAATGAGACAACTTCCCATCAAAGACCAAATGATAGAAGTCACCATACGGTCTTCGACAATGAACAAACCCCATACCGCATAGCTAGCCCTAAAAGGCCCTGAATGACAAATGTAAATCGATTCAAACGAGAAAACTAACGACCTGATTTATGTACAAAACAATAAACGAAAAAAACAAATTTGATATACAGCAACTAACAGCAACCACTGAATTACCGGCTCCTAACTTGGGACAGGTATATACAGAATGTGACCGTGGCGAAAGATAGTGTATTGTGTCGTTTAGTGTCGTCATCGTGGTCGTCCGAACCTTTTTTTGGTTAATCCAAGACTTAAAACAGATTGACAGAATTCAACCAAATTTGCCCAAATCTGTTCAAAAGGACGTGAATTTTTGCGCATGTTATTAAAAAATTTTTCTAAGTAATTTGAGGTTTTCAATACCATAATATTGACGTAGCACTTTTTGCTGACACCAATTTATCAATCAGTCTACAACTCTGTTATATAGATACAATGAATAAGCGTTGATTCTTGAAAAAGAAACCATGAGCCCGCTTATCCATTGTATCTATATAGTAGTAGTACACCCCTGAATTTCATGGACATTCTGTCCCAGGAGACACCTTTTTCTGGAATAACCCTAATTGCATTGGCTTATTTTTTCAATTTTGAAATCAATAAAAAATAAATGGAGAGTGTGTCCCCATCGACACAGATGATGCCCCCGCTTTATAACTTAAACTAATTCTAGCAAGAAGACTAATTCTAGGCACATCATGATTTTCTCGCATAGGAATTTGCGAGAAAAAAAAACATTTGTAAAATTATGTAGTAAAACAGATGAAATCATACTATATTTATAAAACAAAAATGGACAAATAGAATGTTATCATTTTCGTTTCAAATATGTGAAATAGCCCATTATAATCCAAAAATGAACGGTAAAACTCGATATTATTACAAAAATATCCACAATAAAAGAGGGGCGAAAGATACCAGAGGGACATTTAATATACAAAACAAGAAAAAAAAACAAAAAAAAAAAACAAAACAGAAAAACTAAAGAATAGGGAAAACAAAGAGAATACAGGGATTCGAACCTAAACAGACAAGTCCCTACCTTTAACTCTTTGATCTTAACCATGCGAACCTCGCGGCTACCAACCTATACTATACGATTGCCTATTATGTATATATAAAGGTACAAGCCATGTGTGTCCGTTGTACTGATGTATATCATATGTTCATTTATATATATAGAAGAAACATTTAAGTTGCAACCGATTGGTAGCCGAGAGGTTTCGTCGATATGTTGATGTCAGTCACACATAACAGATTTCAAGGATGGGTTCGATTCCCAGTGAAGGCATATAAAAATAACAAAAATTAAAAGTAAGTTTTTAAATTAATTTCATTAGTGAACAGAAATCAGTAAATTAGCCAATTCAAACTTAATGAAATAAGACACACAAAGGAAACAATTGAATATAATATGGTGAGTCCATTTCAGCGACAGATTTAGGAAGCGTTGATTCTGTAATAGTTATCCCATGAGGACGCGTTGTGTCAGTGTAAGATCACCCCGATGGCCGGAGGCCAGAGGGTGATCTAACACTGACACGACAAGTCCGAATGGGATAACTATTTTACATCCCAGCTGTTAGAGATTAGACGAAAAACCATTTACAATTCATAAAATCTAGTTTAGAACGCCACACAACCATTATAATATACTCTATATATTACTATATAATATATACCCTGTACCGAACACGATGTTTAAATATGAAACCATGTCAACTCGCCCCACTGGCCAATCGGCCCACACTAAATCGCCACTTTCAAAAAAATCGCCCCACTCTTGTTTACCAACTCGCACCACTTATGAAAAAGGATAAAATCCCATTGAACAATCAGTCTGACAACTCGCCCCACTTATGAAGATATATTGCTTCCTTTAAATATGTTAAATTACTGAGAGTTGGTATCCAGTCGTCCTGGTATAGGGGTATGTGTCGTGGGTTGATATGCCAAAGGTCTTGAGTTTGAATCCCAGCATAGACAATGGATTTTTTCTACATAAATTTTGAAAGTGTGTCTTTTCTCAATAAATTTTCTAAGTTTTATTGTGGATTAGGCATTCCCGCCTAAATGTTTCAAGACAAAGGAAAGCATGCAAAACAAAGA